GCAGTTTCAACAGCAGTTCAGAGACAGAATGTCCATACCTTCTGCCGGATACACGATTTATAGCTTTATTACTCTTTGTCTAAAAGAGCAGAGAAACATATAATTGAAAGGAAGAGATAGCAGCTAGCGGGTGGGGGAGCAGGAGAGGGGGCATGCAGGAGCCGAGAATCATCATTGCTGGAGACATATCACAGCGACAGTTTTATGGCTAAGGAGTCGGCCCTCTGTATTTTGGGGGCTCGTTTTTATGAAACAAGCGAGATCCAATTTTCTGATTCATCTGCAAACGGTACGGATTGAGTTTAGTATTCTGACGCCGGGCCTCAAACTGGCCCACATGAGCGTAGAGGTCACCGAGAGGGCTCGAAGAGTCAGAGTCATGAGTTTACGCTCACACTGTCAGAGGCCCGCTCATATTTTTGCCCTCAGTGACAACAAGCCTATTGTTCTCCCTGATAAGGCTTCAGTGTGCACAGTAATGGGAATTAAGCAGGGCATAAGTCACGGAGAAATTGGGTGACAGCAGATCAATAGATAGTGGTGAAGCCTCAGGGACCATTAGTGAAGAGGACCCCTTTGTTTGTCCACTGGTGGGGAGACTTAGTGGATGTTCGGTTCAGAATTAACTGTCGAAACTAAGAATACATTGAGCTCATAAGAGAAGGGGGAAAGGTGCATGGTGACACGAGTTCATTAGCCTGAACCGTGTGTTTGTGAAAACACTGGGACTGGGACTATCCCAGTCACCAGAAGAAAATGTTGGCATTATATGTCTCTGCAAACTATGAACACATTACATTTGCACGTTTCATATGTATCATGTCGGTGTAGGATTTAGGAGGACATATAAGCAGTAGCCCAGAATAGACAAACCAAACGCTGTTGAAAATCTGGCATTATACTTTCCTGCAAACCACAAATGCGTTACATTTGCTCATTTCATACATATTATATCAACATTTTTAAACTAACGCTGTTAAAGACAAACAATAACGGTTATTTTCTAGCGAGTCATTTCTGTGTTTTCATCGGCTTTTTAGGGGCCAGTTGTGGGTGTTCTGTAGCTACCCGTCAGTGTGTTTCCATCAATTTTTTAAGCTCTTAACATGCATGTTTGGGAGCTACTCTTCTGTGTTTTTCCATCGGCTTTTTAGGCTCCAGTCTTGGGAGTTTTGTAGCATCAAGCCACACAGCCGCAGCAGCTGTGGGTTAGATTCCAGCATGTGGCCCTTTGCTGCATGTCATCCCCTCTCTCTCCACCTTTCATGCTTAAGTCTGTCCTGTCTAATAGAGGCAAAGAGCCAAAAAAAATAATATTAAAAAAGAAACCTGAAGGCCAACAGAAGACATTCAAGGCACTAGTTAGCCAATTAGCACATTAACAACAAACCCAATGTTGAAAGAACAAAGTTTTTCTTCCTATCACGTCCTCTTGACTTTAGCTATTTGTTTACTTTCCTCACTTCCATTTCTCTTTTCGTTCACTGAGCTGAACCACCAATCAGAGTGACTTCACAGAAAGGCTCCACCTGGTCCAACACCAATTCAACATGCTGAACTGGCTGTAAAATAGATGACAAGGGCAAATTAGTGCTAACAGTGCAGGACACACCACAAAAACCAGGGCGACAAGACGCTCACCAACAGCCTGATGTTGACTGTGGACTGACCGGCTTGGCCTGTCAGAGCCCTAACAACACACGAGTCAAAAATTCAAATATATTCCATGATATAAGGATTTAAAACAGATAAAAGTTGTTATATTTGAGAAACCAGCATGAAAAATGAACAAATTTTTCATCAAAATTGTGTTTTTTTAATTTTCTGTCAATTCCTCGACTAAATGTTTCAGCACTACAACCATTTTAGTGAGTAATCAAAATATCTATGTGCTTTCTTATGAATGCTGTTTTGAGTTTCAGTCTCCCTTTGTCTACAGGGCAGAGTGTGTGTCTGACAGCATGTGTGGCACATGTTTTCGTGGACTGTGGGAACAGTGTGCAGCATGATTAGTGACGCCCTGCAGCCCTACGCGGGAGCTCGAGGATGGAAATGCATTAGCCCTAATCTTTACAGTGTTCAAAATGATTAGCCAGAACGTGACAACTCCGATAAAACAGATTCCCCCATTAAGTTCTTCGGGCAAATGCATATTGTGGCCTTCACTCCGAGACATTCCCACTTAAATGCACAGATAATTTGTTGTTGCATTGCATTATTCCTGCCCCATAACCAGACCCCAGCTGAGTGAGCAATGTGCCAATGATAACTAAAGATATTAATTAGTATATCACGATGGCGGCACATGCATTTTCACTATTAATAAATTCCAAGCCATCAGGTTGTGATTTAATTATGAATTATGTAAGTGGTTGCCATGAATCATTTAGGTCTATGCATTTTATTAGCTAAATGGGAGAGCAGAGTGTAGGCATATCACAATGATGAGGATTTACACACTTGAGTGATGACAGCACAAGAACAAGAATATTTAGTGACTTGATCACAACTTCATGTCGGCCCCCTGCTAATGGCAGAAACATTTCACAGTGATTAATAATTGACTAGAGATGTTTTTTAATGGCTATTAAAGGGTCATGTTTACCCAGAGGTCTTAGGTTTTAAAAGTTCTTTGGTGTGTACATTAAGCACTGCATTATACATTATTAACAAAATAATTCACATCATGTATTCCATCCATTTAAGTTCCATGCAGAGCAATGTGACAGTGTTGCACCAGCAAGAAGAGGAGCCGTTTTGACTTTTATTTGTCTATTTTTTAAATCTAAATGCTTTCACATGGGGAGAATTTTGATAATCAAGTCATTTAAGTAATAATAATGATAATAATCTTTCTTCAGCTTCTCAATTGTGAATATTAGCTGCTTTTGTCCGTTTTATGTAATTGTAAATTAAATACCTCTAGTTTTTGGACAGTTGGTTGGACAAAACAATACTTAAATACATCTCTTTGGCCTCTGGGAATGTCTGATGGTTAGCTTAGCCTGATTCCAAATACTAAACTAGGGCTGCAACTCACAATTGTTTTCAGTTAATTGATAGTTACATGATTTATCCATTAAGTGTTTGGTCTAAAGAATGTCAGTAAAAAGTGAAAAATGCCCATTATAATTTCCCAGAGCCCATCGTAATATCTTTAAATGTCTTATTTTGTCTGACCAAGTCCAAAACCAGAAAATATCCACATCTAAGAAGCAGATATTTTGCTATTTTTACTTAAAAATTGAATATTCAAACAATGCTGATTGATTTTTTGTCGATGACCTTATCCATTAATTGACTTTAGCTCTATTCTATACAGCTTGCCTGGGTCCAGACCTTTGAATCCACCCACTCCACCAGGTTTGAGTTGACTGATTTGTCTGGCATCATGGTATGAAACAGTGGTTTCTCAGTTAAAAAAAACGACCAATGAGCGCTGCAGGTGGACTTGATTAGCAAATCAGTGCCATAAGAAGGACTAACACCATTGTCAAGCTATTGTCAAGCAGTGCAGTAGAACCACGGAGGAGTAATAACAGCGAGCACTACAGTCAAAATAGATGCTGCTATCAAGGCTGTTCTAAATTAACATGTCTGCTCAATATAGCTCCACATCATAGTTTTTTTTACTTTGCTCCACTCCATACTTAAACCCCAGCAAAACAGGTATGTCGCCACACATAAGTGGACTTAAAATGATGAAGATTGAGGCGGATTGAAGCCTCTTGTGATCAGTTAGGGAAAGTCAGAATCCCCACTCTCCCTCGGAAATTGGTTATAGTTGACACACAGACTCAAGATAGAAACTCAGTGTAACGAGTTGACAATTCTGTCTGATATCAGGCGACTGAATGGCTGCCAACATCGCATCTCTATGTAATTGGTGTTTATGTTATTGACTGCTGTTTTCCTTGGTTGGAGAAGGACCAATCAGAAGCCTTGTCAACTAAAAAATTATAGTGGCAGGGCAGATGTGTCACTCGGCCGGGTGAAAACAAAACAAAATCACTCCCACTACCAAACAGACACTGGCTAAAATGAAGAGGAAGGCTAAGTGAATGGAATGTACTGAATAGCAAATGAGTCTAATTGTCAGTCTAATGTTTCACTTTTTTTGACTAAACAATTGATTTAAAACATGAATCAATAGATTAATCAATAATGGAAAGGTGGTTGCAGCCCTAGAACAATATAAGAGATATTTCAATCACTTGCTGGACAGGCACAATCACTGTGTAACAGCATAAATGACAGGAGAATGATGGGAGAGCTAAACACTAGGTGACACCATTGTAAATATGGACATTCATTTCATTATTTCATAGTGAAATCTATATCAGACTATAGATATCTCCATCTTTTTTTGCCACTTTTCTTCTTGTCAAGTTGATGTAGTGCCAGGAACAAGGAGTATATTTGGTTTGAAGAGGGCTGTCAAATCGAACTGTCAGGCTGCACTTTTTGATGGAGCCGTATCGCTCGCTCATCTGTCAGTCAAAGAGAAAGACTGCTGCCAAAGTCAAATTCGAAGAGTTGAGGAGCTGACTTACATGGCATTTCATTGTCTGGGAGAGCAGAGAAGTCTGACGAGCACAGTTCAGCTCTGATTTAAAATTTGTAGGGGCATGTTTGCTAAGTAATAAAGTGTAGTAGCGGATAACCAGACGGATGGTTGATACAGAAGGTCACTTAAAGCTTAACAAGTACTACATATAGGAGGATAATGGACTCATAAAGTTCACTGTGGTCTATGATAAAAACTGAATATTGCCTCATCACGCATACAAAGAAGGCCTACACATTTCAGAGCACATTAATCATCCCGGTGTCATAAAACAGTTCTTCTCATAGACAGTAGACTCGAGTCAGGCTGCCCTATAAAATTCAATCATCACAACAGTGTCAGACATTGTTCTGGCATACCAGAAAATTCCCCGACCCGGGGAGCGTGTCTCTCTGCTGGATTGTTATGGTGTTTACTCACACAAGAGGCTTACCCCGAGGCGAGCTCCACACCTCAGCTGCCCAGCTGGAAGTGTCCCAGCCCCCCGGAGGAATGCTCTACCCTCCCCTGCTGTCCAGACTCTGTCAGTAAGAGGCAGCGGCGGCGGCGGCAGGGCCAGCAGCCAGAGCTTCCTGAGAACTGGAGACCAGTGAGAAGAGAGAACATCAGATTGTAAGTAGTCCATCAGGTAGAGCGGGTACAAGGAGGTATAATTTACAGCACTTGATCCAAATCTTGTTCTCTGCACACAGTCAGAAACCTGTGCCATCACTGTGGCCTTCACATGCACTGGGTTTGTTGACACTGTTTGCATATGACACAGTTTCTCTGTTATTGAGAAATATTAATGTACAATACAGCACTCATCAAAAACCTGGTAGTCCTCATTACCACACTCTAGTGGATGCATTTATATCTGCATCTTCCCTATATTCACCAAGTTGAAAATAGGAAAATAAAGAAAACAAAAAAGTGTAAACGCAGTACCTCCAAACTGAGGGACTGAAATACATTTACTTTACCTTTTATATAACCTTTTCATGCAGTGGACAGATATTTGCAGCCCATTTTGAACTATTTACATGTAGCTTGTAATGTCTTGTCCCAACCACCAAGAAGTGGACTCCCAGAGAGTTGTCTACAATTCCATTTGATTCCATTTTGATATTTTGCATCATGTATTCAAAATGGTGGAGGGGAGAGGACATGCACCTCAGGAATAACTGTTAAATCCTTTTGTTCTCAGACGGGCAAAACAAATATTTTTAACTTGATAAGATGCTAGAAAACAAATTACAAGAAAAAGGTGACTAAAATCTGGGTTAAAATATTTCTGGGACTGACATACATCTGTCCACTCCAGTTGACGTTAAGTGCAAAAGGCTACAGAGTGGTGCAGGAATGAGTCCTACAACCCAGAAATAAGTTAGCATTTTTGAACTCCTGTTTTTTTTGAATGGCATTTTGGTTAGATGACTGAAATAAGGTCTGTGGTTAACACAAGCTCGAGATTTTCACGTTTTGTTCCATGACATAAAATACATTAGTAAATACCTCTTAAGTGTCTTAAAAAAGGCAGTTGTTAACGCGTAACTAAATGAAACTACAGAGTGTCATCACACCGCAAGGCTTGAAAGTGTTGTTGTGGTGGTGATGTTAAGTCATGTGACCCTGGTGTAGTTCGTTTATAGCCTAACATTAGCTTTTTGCTTCTAGCAGTTGCATTTACTCTTCAAAAGTAATAAAAGTAGTACTCATTTGTTAAGTTTATCTTGCTGAACAGAGCATGTAAGTATCATAAACCTTCATTTGCCACAGATCTTATTTTCAGCAGTAATCCAAATCCAAGTAAAAAACCCACTGGCTTTTTGATGAGGAAAGCGACACAAATTTCCACGTTGGCCTACAAAAAACATCATCCCTGATCCCTGATTTAACTTGCACTGCTTTATGTTTTAGATTCTTTTGGTTTCTACTTGTGATTTTCTTTTTATACATATTTAATTGCATTGTGGAAGTGAGCCTGAGTCCAAAGATTTTCAGTGGCAATAACTGCTATTGTACTTGTTGTACATTTGACAATAAAGAACTTTTATCTTCTGAGCATTAAAAACCTTAAAACTTTTTATGTTAGGATTAAAATGAAATATGCATGGAAGATCAAACAGTAAAACAAAGTGCAGCACTAAATGTTGCTCCTCAGTCTTATGTACATAGATGAGATTTTTTAAGGATAGTTTATCTGCTAATTATAAAGTGTTTTATTAGGTAAGAATATTTATTAGCCACTGAGCTCTTTAGCAGAAACGGTTTGTAATTGTTTTATTATTTGCTGTCACACAGTAAATATCCTACTCTTTCCACATCCGGTCATGTTGTTAACACGCTAACTGCTAACTAGCGTCTTTAATCAATCCTGTTTTAAGGTTTCCCTTTTTGAATGAAGAATACAGACTACCACCACCTGCTTGTGTGGAGAGTTTCCTCTCCCTCAAGTGCAGAACATACATGCTGGTTGGTAGTCTTAACGGTGTGTTCAACTGCAACTTTTTGGCCGAGACATGTGCAGGCAACACAACAGCCGGCCTTTGACGCCACTAGTTCTTGGATTTCTTCTATTTCCTGACACTAATACAATGTTTTTTTGTTTGTCTAGCACAAATATACCTCTAACTCTGCTTTGTCATTTGGGTTGAAGGTCTCCAGCTATGCCTGCTGAATGCACTGTAAGTTTATAGTAATTTTAAGAGAGAAGTCAAAATATGAAAGCATTTTGTTTCTGTGTGTGACTTAAGGTTTTATGCTTAAACCTGATTTTTTTTTTTTTTTAAATGAGAGAGAAGCTCAGTGTCTTACTTGTGTAAAGATTTATATTATATTTGAAAGGTCAAAAGCTGCACATGTAACAGTTAACCCAACTTATACATTATATGTTATACATTTAACATGTGATTGATAATAACTATGAGAGTATAATGTTAGTGACAACAACAATTAGTAACAGCTGTCAGTGGCAATGGGCGATATATGCTTAATCATAACACTTTTAACTTCTGCTTTTCCCAAAAATGTCCCAGTATGACACAATAAAAAATGTCCCAGTATGACACAATACAAATATCCCAGTATGACACAATAAAAAATATCCCAGTATGCAATAAAAAGGAAGAAGGCAACTCCGGTCTCCTTGGTTAATTGGCAAATACTCTCCCTGAAGTCAATTATCCACAGCACTTATCCCTGCACTGTAGTTAATAATGTGATGTGCCTCTGCTCTGACCCCCACTTGTGTGTCTTACACAGATGTAACGAAGCGACAGCCCTCATCATGGCATCAGACCATGGTACAGAGCTGAGGGGATCATGTCAGGGAGGTAGCATGACAGTGGATACACAGAGCACATTTGTCTGAGGACCTTTTTGTAAACATACCTACATGTAACACAAACACACTTCCTTAGTTTAAAGGTGATGCCAGAAACACAAACAGACAAAGTGACCCAATAACAGAAACAAACTACCAATAAAGGCAGTGGTGAACCAGCAGCTCCTTTGTTCAGTGAGGTAAAATAACTGTTTTTGTCAATGGAGACTGGATTTGAAGACCACATAGATGAGCACCACCTCCAGTTCAGTTCCCCGTCAGAAAGGGCTATCTGTTTGGAAAGTACTAAGCATATGACTGGATAAATGAGACTTGGATTATACTGAACTGAACGAGTTGTGTGAGAGTTTGTAAACTGATGAATTCATATAGTTTTGCTGTTATTCAACACAGTCACCTCATTTTTAAATTCTTTACTCACCAGAGGCATGCAAGGAAAGCAAAGTTTTCTTCACAGATTCACCATAACATGATGTAAGTATCTGATATACAATTGGTCATTTGGGGGGTGAAGTATTCCCTTAAAGGTCCACTAGATGATATACTTGCAAATAAACTAAAAGCTTGCACCAAAAAAATACTGAAAAAGGGCACAAAATGTTGGTTATCGGGTACAATTATTTAAAATCATAAAATTAAATGCACTTATCAGTCAAGCAACCAACTATTTTCTCCATATATTCAGTGTTATTTACTGGAGACAAAGTGTGTAACATCAGCATAAGAGAGCTTCACTGCCTTGACAACACTGCCCCTCTCTGTATGAACACCTTTATTACATGTCTTCAACTTCAACTTATTTAGTGTCCATTTAATTCCATCCAGTAAGGAGAAGTCCCATATATTATCTGCAAAGTCGATTTATCAGCTTTATCACAGTAATTATATTATCATCTAGTTATAAAAGCAATTTTTATGTCTTATTTTATCATACTCTGTTTGAATTTTAAATGCTGTCTAAAATGAAGTCTGCATGCTCATAGTACAAGTTCAATACTGGAATTGTATTAATGGTCAATTGCTGTGTTATATAACTGCAGTTCCTCACTAATCCCGCCTACTCTATATACACAAAGTCAGTGAGGATTAATTCACTTTTTATATTTGATATTTTAAAAACTAACTGTTCTGTTCTCTGTCAGTTAATTCCTATTTGAAAGCATGTAAATGCATCCTGCTGCCACCGAACACGATGTAGCTTGTAGAATTGTTGAATATTTTTGTAAAGAAATTAAGCTTGGAAAGTTCTATTGTGATTAGATGGTCTAAAGACAGATTTTCATGTTTGCTATGAGATACTTGAGTCTAAAGCTGTTTCTAACAGGAATTAAATACAGCTATTAGGCAAATCCCAAACAATTTTTCTTTGGTCCATCAGTACTAAAACTCACTCAAAGTTCTAACCTAAACTCTACAGAGCCAAATAATAACTGTGAACATTATTGGCAAATATGTGAAATATCCAGTTATACTTAACATACATAGCCATTTATTCCCTGCAGGGGGCATACTATAGTAAAGAGTTAGCAAACCTGGCAAACCAGTAAACTGTTTGACTCTCTTTATAATATTTGATCTTTAGTTTCATTTTGACATTGTATTTCTGTGTATTAAACTTCCTAACCTTCACTTGCAGTTCAATAATGATGAAACAGACAGTGAAAGAAAATCACAAATGACTGGTACTTGTAATTAAGAGGATAGGCCTACATGTACTTTTTCCACTACATTAACCTGACAACTGTAACTAGCTTACTAAATTACTTAACGGGCCTACCAGGCACAGGCCCAGGGCCCCCTGGCCTTCACTTGCGAAATGTCATATGTCAAATTAACACGTACTGACCAAGAAGAGACTCAAAATGACCACAAAGAGACACAAAACAACCACGAAGATACAAAACAGGGGTGCCCAGTAACTCAGTGGGAAAAGTGGGCATCCAATGTACAAAGTCAATGTCCTTGCCGCAGCGGCTGTGGGTTTGATTCCCACCTGCAGCCCTTTGCTGCATGTCATTCTCTTCCCCCTAATGCTTAAAAACTGTCCTAATAATATAATAAATAATAAAAGCAAAAGGCCAAAACAGAAATCTTGAAAAAAAAGACTCAAAACAGCCACAAGGAGATACAAAATTACTACAAAACAACACTTAACAACCAACAGAGACACAAAATTACCTCAAACAGACCCAAACGACTACAAAAAGATGCAAAACCACCATGAGGAGACACAAAACCGCAAAAGATGCATAAT